GGATCCAAACACCGGTTTTCATCTCTTTACCTCTTTGCATAGTTGCTGGCAAAATCAGGTTGCTGAGCCTCCAGAGGCCTTCAGTGATTCTCTCCAAGACAGCAAACAGTGACTGAAAATGGCTTGTGGAAGATACAGGTCTCCCAAATATCAGCAGTTCAAGCATAGATTAAACAGCGGCAGCCATTTCCAAGTAGTATAAGCAACAAGTTTCAATTACATGCTATGTTAACATCATCTGTTTTTTTCCTTTAAAGTTGATAATGACTTCCTGAAGATTTTAATATTTGAATTACCTTATCTTTCTCTGTGTTCTCCTCAGGCTTCAGATGATATGTTAACCAGCTCCTCCATCTGAAATGCATAGTATGTTTATTCTCTTCATACCTGTTTGGTGTGGAGGATGTTCCTAGTTACCAGCATAATGAATAGCGAGAGACCAACAAAAGAAATTCTCCTCCGTTTTGCTGGCTTTGCATAAAATTGACATTCGGAGCATTTCTTTTGCTTTTCAAATTTTACAAATAAAATATGTGAAGTGTGAATTTCAAAGAACTACCACTATCTGTAGATCTAATCTGTGCAGTTCAAGACCCATCTAATATGATGTCATAGCATGACCTGTTTAATTGCAGGTGTTCAAGTACTACATTAGTGATAGTGTCAGCATATAATTTTGTACTTAAAAGCTATTTTTTATTTTGATGGAACATTAAAAAGACCATGTTTGAGCATTTTTTAGTTTTTTTTAATTATACAAAAAAATGAAAATAAAATTGAACAGTTTTTTTATTGGTGCAAATTTTCAGTTGTATGCTTTTTTTTTTCCAGGTTGTGAGACCTAAAATAAATGTAAACTACAGTGTCAGTATGAACTGGTTATAGACAGTGATGGTAGAGAGACAGCAGTTTGGTAACTGCTGTGGGGGAGTCTGTGTTACCACTTTATCTGCAGTTAGAATGTAAGTCTGATCATGTTGTCTTGTATGGTTTTAAACCTCATGATATCCAAAACCTTTTATACTTAGATATTTTGACAGATTTATGAGACTAGGGATCCTTTTTTTATTCGTAATTATAAGAAAGAAAAAAACTAAGGTTGTAGTTAAGAAGACATAAATTTAAAAACATTTTATTGAATATTTTGGGCATATCAAAACCAAACAAAAGAGTTTGCCTGCCTGTCACCACAAAAGGCAAACTTGTAAGACAGATGCAGAAAATAGAAACAAACAAAAAACAGGCTTTATTCAAGTGCTGTGTGACCTGGGAGAGTAACAGATTCCCATCTCAAAGACCATCTCCTCCTTGTGGTTTGGAGACAAGTCCACTGTCCTCAGCAAGGCTAAGCAGAAGCTAGTATTCAGAGTTCCTGCTTTATTTTAACGTACATTCTTCAGAGTCTGCAGGCAGCTGCTAAGTCCTCTTACTCCCTATCCAGGTAGGTTAGCACGTTCCTGGTTGCTGTGCATTTCAGGCTCGCTCCTGGGGTCTTCCTGTGGAGCCTGCATGGCCACCAGCCATGCAGCTACTAGAGCCGCATGGGCACATGCTCCTGGGCAAGAGAGCATATAAACGCACAGGCTAGAGCATCACCAGATGGGCAAGACAGAGAGGCTCCCTCCGGGAGACCATGGGCTATGTGACTCCTAAGGCTCCGTAGCCTTGGAGAAAACAGGATGGTGCACTGGGAGTGAAAAAGCAAGAGAGAGAGCAAGGTTCTTGTCTGCCTGCTATGATATTAGCTTGAGAGGGGGTTTATCAAAACGAAATTTCTCAAGTTTTCTTGTGTGTCAGGTGGGACCACCTCCAAACCAATCCCATTTTCCCCAGGCTACACTGACGGGCCTCTTCATCCTAGCACCTTCCCTGTGCCATTTTGACTTCTGTAACACATGTGCCCACTTTTCTTTGGTCCTACCCCAAATCTGGTGCCAGAAGAAGGGGAAGTTTTTTTTTTCCTTTTTTCTCTATTTAATTATCTCGCTAGCGCTTGTCATGCTCAATGTAAGAACCTCACCCTGCCACCATCTTTGCCAATGGGGGAGACTCTCCAGAGCTCTGACTGTTTTACAGTAACAATGAGTCATCTATAACTTCCAATAAGTATAAAAGTTATTAGTGATAAGAATAATTAGCTAGTAAGCAACAATACGTTGTCACATAAGACTGGCATTTGGCCAGTAAGAAAACAATGATTCCTTGTTGGGTCCAGTTTGTTACTTATATAGTCAAGTTAACCAAGATGAGCTAAGATGGTTGCTTCCTGCCATATCCCTTCTGCTACAGGATGGCACTGAAACAAAAGGGACCGGATGACAGGACAGGGAAACACACCCGGCTGGACCTTTATCCTTGTGAAACCGATTCTATGCTTCAGCTCGCCAGTATTATAGCCTGCAGCTGTGCCTTAAGGTGGGCGAGACGGAGTCTCACTCCTCATCAGAACACTGGAGGTGATGAGAAACTGTCATGACAGCTGTCTGGGAATGTAAGGAAGTGAGAGAGCAATGACCTTGCAGCAGCTCCTCAATAACCTCCTGTGTTCTTCTGTTCTGCCAGAGCTCACGTTGGCTTTGATTATGGCTCAGCTAGATGGTCTATGTGGAGACCTGAAACATCAATGGGGAGCAGCAGCAAAGCTAGTGCCCTACAAAAATTGCACATAATACCAAATGAAATGGTGTGATCTATGCTTAGAACTAATTACACACAGAAAGATGCATCAACACACCTAGCCATGTGCATGTAGCTCAGATTTGTTCAGTACGAGATATTCCACCCTAGGTTTTCCTTATTTTTTAACTTGGTTATGAGTTGACTAGCTTCAGTTACAGTTTGCTAAGTTTTTTTTCCTTGTTTCCCTCAATAGTCCCTTGAGGGGGGACTATTAGGTGTTGAAAGAATTTCTTGGTTAAGAGATGCTCAGAACCTATTGCTCAGTACCTATTATGCTCAGTTTCTGTTGAGCCCCTGCTCTGGGCTGAAGGAAAGGCTGTGCTAGTCTATGCTGATCTGGATTTCTAAGATTCAAGGGCAATCCTGAGGCAAGATAAATCCTATGTATGTACAGGTTTCTAGGAGACTGAATATCAAGTGGAAATGAATGTACTCTCTTCATCTAATTAACCTACAATGAACTATAACAGGCGACTTTTTGTTCTGTGTTTTACACGCACACATTTTCCCACGTGTCTAATGTACATGGGATTTGGAGCCAATTTTCTCCATTCTGATTTCTTCTCCTTCAAGAAGTAGAAGTGGACTCAACTTTCCCTTAATTTTTACGGATCAGGTGTTGCTTGAGAATAAATGTAGACAAAACAAATCTTTTCTGTGCTTTGATTTGAGGCCATTATATCCACTAAGTATGCAATAGCATTCAGGGTTTCCTCCTTAAATATACTGTTTTTTTAACTTTTTTTGTTAGATTATTTATTTATTTATTTATTTATTATTATTTTTTTTAATTTTTAGAGAGAGAGGAAGGGAAGGAAAAAGAGAGGGGGAGAAACATCAATGTGTGCTTGCCTCTCACACGCCCCCTACTGGAGACCTGGCTCACAAGCCAAGCATGTGCCCTGACTGGGAATCAAACCGGTGACCCTTTGGTTCTCAGGCCTGTCCTCAATCCACTGAGCTACACCAGCCAAGGCAAATGTACCTCAAAGTAAAGTTGACGACCCAAGTCTTCTTACTGTAATATTTCATTTACCTTAAAGAATATATACATATTATCAACAAAATGATGATAAAAGTAGGAGTTAACTGCACACTTAATGTTTTCGCTATGAAATTATTACCAAGAATAGTATCATGAAGCTTTCCTATGCCCTGACCAGTGTGGTGCAGTTGGTTGGGTGTTGTTACAAAAAGCAAAATGCCGCCAGTCTAATTCCTGATCAGCTCTGTTCCTGGTAGGGGCACCTCCAAGAGGCAACCAATTGATGTTTCCTCTCTCACATTGATGTTTCACTCCCTCTGTTTCTCCCTTCCTTCCTCTCTCTAAAAATAAATAATAAAGATCTTTTCTTTTAAAAAAAGAATACTATAATGAAGCTTTCCTCCTATGGTTTCCACTAGTTTTACAATTTAGGTCTAAAGTTTGTCTTTAATATACTTTGTGTTAATCTTTGTATACAGTGGAAGATAAAGATCCAATTAAGCAAATGGGATTAATTCCTAGGATGCAAAGGTGATTCAGCACCCACAAATCAATAAATAGGATATACTTCATTAACAGAATGAAGGATAAAAATTATAGGATCCTCTCAATAGAGGTATAAAAATCAATGGACCAAATTTTATACATTTTATGATAGAAACACTCAACATATTAGTTTTAGAAGGAATTCATGTTCACATAATAAAGGCTGTATATTATAAACACATAACAACATACTCAACAGTGAAAAATTGAAAGTTTTTTTTTCTGAGATCAGGAACAAAACAAAAATAACTACTCTTGCCACTTGTCTTCCTAAGTGTACTGGAAGTGCTGGCCAAAGCCATTAGGTAAGCAAGATAAATGAAAGACATCCAAATCAGAAGGAAAGAAGTAAAATTGTCCTTGTTTTCAGGTGAAATAACCATATACATCTATACCTATACCTATACCTATATCTATATCTATATCTATCTATTCCCCCAAACCTGTTAAAATAAACAAAGTCAGTAAAATTTCATGACACAAAATCAACACACAAAAATCAGTTGTGTTTCTCTATACTAACAACTACTTGAAAAGGAAATTAAGAAAACAATCTCTTTTAAAATAGCATCAAAGAATAAAATACTTAGGAATAAATTTAACCAAAGAGCTGAAATACTTATATACTGAAAATTACAATACACTGATGAAAAATTAAAGACACAACTAGTAAAAATACATGCCACATTTGTGAATTGAATGGCTTAATATTAAAATGTCCATGCTACACAGAAGGATGTACAGATTTAATCCTATCCATCAAAATTCCAATGGCATGACTATCCACTGGACCCATTGCTCCCCTCAAGGAAAGAGTGGCTACTCTGAGGTCACCCTAAGGTCCAAAGGAGATCCAATGACATTTCTTTCTCAAAAATAAATAAAACATTCCTAAAGTTCATATGGAATAAACAAAAAACCTCAAATAGCCAAAGCAAGCTTGAGAAAGTAAAACAAAGTTGGAGGCATTATATTTCCAAATTTTTTAATGTATTGCAAGTCTATAATAATGTAAACAGTATATTACTAATATTTAGACAGATATATAACCTGATGGAAGAGGATGAAGCCATATATAAACCCAAGGTTACACAGGCTACTGATCTTTGACAAAGGATCCAAGAAAACACAATGGGAAAATAATGGTCTCTCCCTAAATAATATTGGGAAAACTAGATATCTGTGCTATATTTTTCTTTACTTTCATAGGAGCTACAAATGAGAAATGCAGGTGAGGCTTTTTGAGGGGCATTGTTTATACTGATAGATTATTAAATCTGAACTTGACAAGGAAAAAAGGCATCTGGATGATGGTGAAAAAGTGAAACTCCTCTTTCCAGGGATAAGTTGTAGGATGGAACTACTGCTGAAAGACAGAAAACATATTTAAAACACAGCATTAATTGCCTATTGTAGGTAAAATTTAAAAATTAATATCTCAAGTTTATTAAAATGGCTTCAAAAAGTATTCATTGCTTTCATTACACGTTGGTGATACAACATGGTGATTTGTTGGGAACCTTACACCTAGCTTCTAGCTAAAAACATTGCATTGATTACAGGAACCTGTGCGCTCCACAAAGCCAATCGGCTACAGGTACATGAGGTGTGCATGCGCTCCACAAGCCAATCAGCTACAGGCACGTGAGGTGTCCACGAGTACCAGTTGCACCCAAGTAATCAATAAGCAGGCCCTTCTTTGTCTCAAGCTAGCCAATAGCAAGCAACCTAATCTCTCCCTCCCCCCCCCTATACATATACCCAGTTCGGAAAAATAAAGTTTGCAGCTTGATTAGAATCTTTTGTCTTGCTGCCATTCTTCGAGCCTCTTGTCCCCCCAACTCATTTGTTCTAGGTAGGTGGTCGAGCCCCAGTTGATTGCTCCGCGGGCTGGAGCAGTGATTAACATGTGTTTATTGAGCAGTAAAACAATTAGATATATATTATTTGCCACTAATAACATTGCTATTAATCCAACCAGGATTAAATAAATAAATTATTTCATATGTCACATTATAATTTTAAGTATCAACATATGCTGAGTTTATTCAGAGAATACATAAAAATATTTTTAAAAGGGACTGTTTTGCTCATAGTTATTTGGTTAGAATTGAAGAATGGCAAAGTAGTTATTTGTGTAAGAGTGAGTCACTTCTGTTAGCTTCTAGCCGCATTAACTACAGTAATTTAATAAATTAATTAAAATTAAATTGAAAAGATCGGTTTCTCAGTCATACTAGTAATATTTAAATAGTCATTAATCATATGTGGCTAATGTCTTCTGCAGAGCCAAAATAGCAAAAAAATTCTGTCATTTTATAAAGCTGTATTGGACAGCACAGATATGTATTAAACACCTATCAATGAACAACATATATTGTTCTTGAATTACTTGCTATTTTTAAACATTATGTGTGTTGTGATTATATTTAAATGTGATTTTATCCTTTTGAAATGAATAATAAAATTTGACATTGTAAATTACAATATATCTTTTCATTTTATTTTTTCCAGGTAATTTATTTTCTGTATTTCAAAACAGTATATGTTTGCAGTGAATTGAAAACTAAATAGAAAGGAGGAAGAAAGAAGGGGAAGAAGGAAGGAAAGAAAAAAGGAAGGAAGGAAGGAAGGAAAGAAGGAAGGAAGGAAATGAGAAAGAAAATCCAGATCTAGTCTTCACCATAAACTGAAAAAAGAGAAACACTGACTTTGAAGATTCTGGGCCTCCAATGGAGGACCATAGATAGAGATTCATAGATAAATCTGTACCATGGGAGAAAGATTATTAGCTCTTAAAAAACAGAAAGAAGGTTGTATATCTTTTCTAATCCTACTGTTCACGTATAGTTAAAAGTAATAGGTCTTGGTTGTATTAAATTGTATTCCCAGTTTTTCTCTCTATACTTTTAGGTCCCTCTGTAGTCATCAAACTGCCATTAGTAAGCATCACTATAATGACTTTTTGATTAATCAGTAAACTACATAGTTTATGTTACACACAGAAAAACTCAAATTATGGTCAAGTCATATTCTCCGGATCATAAAACTTAGATACACGCAGTCCTGCTTACATTAAAATTCAGAATATATGAGCATCAGGCAGACATTTTATAAGAGTTTATTATGTGCATCTCCTAGGAGTGCAAATATTCATTGCTGTTTTATACAAATGTATTGCTCTCTTTGGAGGAAGACAAAAATCGTTTGGGATCTGAGAGTTACTCAGATTTAGGGGGAAGGTGGGGCTTTATTTTACTACTCAGAGGATAGGAAGTCAGTACTTGCTACTCTTCATATGCAGGGCACCTTTGGTATTAGACTAGCGAATCATCTGCTATAGGTAACATTTATGCATTTCACAGAAAATACATTGTATGGAAATTAAAATAGACATGCATGTATTATATGTTATGAATATAGAACTTTGGTTTTTGTTTTATACCATGCTGAATCTCACCAACTTCCATCTGCTCATACTACAAGGAAGTCACAAATGTGAAAGTGTGAAAAAAGGATGTACTCTATTTTTATATGGTTCCTTAAACAATATGTGTGCATTTTGTTCAAATATGCCAATTTGTTTTTCTGTTTGATTTATATTGGCTCATTATAGAAACATGTTGATTATCTCACCAGTCATACTACAAAACTTTCCAAATAACTTTGGGGAAAGAAAACAAAGCATAGTGGGTAAATATTTAGAATACTTAATGGGGGCAATGAAGATGATGAAATTAGCATGTGCCTAGCTTTTTTAGCATGTTAAATGCATATTGAAAGTCAACTAGGGCAAGATGCTGAGATCATCAAAAACCACATAAGAAGGGTTCCCATGTTTCTAGAAACTAGTTAATATGATGAGATGATACACAAATTAGCAAAATAATACAATGTACTTAGTGTATTACTTATGAATATTATATGTACATTAAGTGTTTTGCCACTTTCAAAGGGCCAGTGGTCATCTGGGTGAGTGTGACCTGAGTAAGATAAAGAGAATGACTACAATTTATCTTGGATTTTAGCTTATGAACAGGAATCTTATACATGGACAAAGCATCTAGAGAGAATATGTTCCTTTCAAGGTACTCAGCAGGTGATATGTTAAGACACCTGCCCACCCTGCTCTCTCATGCACACAAACACATACCACACCCCTTTTGATTCCCTACCCAAAAAAAAAGATGCATCTGATTAGGCAAATATACTGCCAATATCTTGGACCTTTTCCCTAGATATGTGACCTTCCCAAAATAAAATCCTGATTTTTAGATTAAATAGTTCTTTATTTTTCTTTACACATTTATCTTAAAAACATGTCTGTATCTCTAAATCATGTATTGTTGAATTTAGCCTGGCCCTGACTTGGTAGCCCAGTTGGATAGAGCACAGTCCTGATACACCAAGGTTGAGGTTCCACCCCCGTCAGGGCACATGAGAAGCGACTAAAGCGTCCACCAGTAAGTGGAACAACAAATCAATGTGTGTGTCTCTTTTTCTCTATCTCTAAGAATCAATATTTTTAAAACAAATACCTGTTTTAAGCATTTATACAAAATGAATGACAGCATATTTTTGTGATTTGCTTTTTCTTTTCAATCAACATTAGGATTTGAGACTTACCCACACTGACACATATACGTTGCAGAATTTCATTTTGTTTTTTTCCATTTGACTATTGTGCAGTAGTCCATTATGTTAACATAACATCCATTCTGTATCTATCTTATTTGTTTAGCATATTTACATTATTTGCATTATTTCTAACATGCGACTATTACCAACACTCTTTCAATAATTATCATTGTACACTTCTCCAGTGGTACACAGGTGTAAGGGTTTCTTCATACCTAGAAGTAAAATTGCTAAGGTCTACCTATGCAGATGTCCTGAGATATCATCCACAATATACAACTGTTTTTTATGAGTCATACTCTGTGTGTCGCCAACATCATGGTATGACAAGTTATTTCACTCCACATCCTTGTTGATGCATGTTATTATCAAAGTTTATATAAAATACAAAAAAATTAAAAACATACCAGTGCAAGAAAGAGTAGATATTATTTTTGTGGTCTTACTTTGCATTTCCCTAAACTATAAGTTTGTGTCTTTTTATATATAATTATTGTACTTCATGATCCTGTTCTGTGAAATGCTTTTTTATATCTCTTGGTCATTCTTCCACTTTGATTATTCTGACATTTTGGGGAGTTCTGTCAGTATTTAGTTATCCATTCATCACTAATATTTTCAGTTTTTTCTTATTTACATCTTAATAAACAAAACTTATACTGTAGTAAAATTCTTCTGTATTTTTACAGTTTTATACTATGTGTTTTATTTGATAAGTGTTTTTCTACTCTAAATTCATAAGAGTATTCTCATGTAATTATCACTACAAGTTTTATAGTTCTAATTTCTTTTTTTAATATATTTTATTGATTATGCCATTACAGTTGTTCTATTCCCCCTTCATTCCCCTCCACCCTGTACACCCCCTCCCCCATCATTCCCCCTCCTTTAGTTTATGACCACGTGTTTCAAGTTTTCTAGATTCTATATTTCCCATACCATTCTTGCCCTCCCCCCCATCTATTTTCTACCTACCATCTATGCTACTTATTTTCTGTACCTTCTCCCCTCTTCTCCTTCTCCCACTCCCCTGTTGCTAACCCTCCATGTGATCTTCATTTCTATGGTTCTGCTCCTGATCTAGCTGTCCTCTTAGTTTGCTTCTGTTTTAGGTGTGGCTGTTAATTTTCACTTTTAAATTTTAAACCTGTCTGAATTCATTTTTCTGGCAAATTTATATAATAGCCCATTCTCTTCATATTGGTCAGACTACCCAGTCTGTGACAGAGCAATTTTTCCATACAAGCATGGGGTTTTTTCTGGCCTCTCTACACTGTCTCATTT